AAGAGCACAGAGGAAAACCATCAACACAAACAGCCCCCAGAAGCCTTTTCACATTTCCCACGTCACATCTGCTATAATAGCAAAATCGTGTTTGCAAACAACAAGGAAAAACTACCTTAAACATGTGCTTCCCAAAACACAGAGAATGAATTCAGCCTGCTCTGCAAACGCCCCTCAATGCATGTGGGAGATGACTGGTAATAAACTGCCTCAGAAGAATGCCAAGACCTCTGCTGTGGAGAGCATCAGCTAAAGGCTGCACAGGTTGTCAGACTCCAGCTACATTTATCTTCCTACATAATAGAATCATAGAATGGTTCAGGTTGGAGGGGACCTTAAAGCTCATCCAGTTCCAACCCCCCTGCCATCAGCAGGGACACCTTCCACTAGACCAGGTTGCTCAAAGCCTCATCCAGCCTGGCCTTCAACACTTCCAGGGAGGAGCAGCCACAGCTTCTCTGGCCAACCTGTTCCAGTGTCTCACCACCCTCACACTAAAGAATTTCTTCCTCACATCTCATCTAAACCTCCCCTCTCCCAGTTTAAAATCATTACCTCTTGTTCTGTGGCTGCCTGCCCTTGTCCAGAGTCCCTCCCCACCCTTCCTGGAGCCCCTTCAGGTACTGGGAGGTCTCTAGAAGGTCTCCCCGGAGCCATCTCTTCTCCAGGCTGAACAGCCCCAACTCTCTCAGCCTGTCCTCACAGCAGAGCTGCTCCAGCCCTTGCACCATCTTCGTGGCCTCCTCTGGACTCGTTCTAACTGGTCCATGTGTTTCTTGTGCTGGTGGCCCCAGCACTGGAGGCAGCACTGCAGGTGGGGTCTGAGGAGAGCGGAGCAGAGGGGCAGAATCCCCTCCCTCCACCTGCTGCCCACGCTGCTCTGGGTGCAGCCCAGGACACGGTCATTGGCCTCTGTGCTGCCAGCGCACGTTGCTGGCTCATGTTCAGCTTCTCGTCCACCAGCACCCCAAGTCCTTCTCCTCAGAGCCCAAGTATCATGGGTATAACCTGATATTAATGACCCCCCTCTTTTTTCTAAAAGAACTTAAATGTTCTGGCAGCAGCAAGGAGTAGTGCTTACTCCTGAGAAGATTATGAGCATCTGATACACATCTTGCTTTCCTCTGTAGGCACAACTTTCCCGTGTCCAATTTTCCTGTTACTAGAATACAAGTTTCGGACTGGATCATCTCATGGATTTTGCTTCTTTGGTAGGAAAGGTGATCTCTAGAGAAATGTTTCAAAACCACAGTAGGAAAATACGCATTTCCGTAATGAAAGCTAAAAGTAGAGCCAGTGTCTGTTACCTTTGTCTAAAGGTTCCAACTCTGACATTTCCCAAGTGCAGAGCTTGCAATGAGAACTGCAAGGAGTTTCTGAAGTGTTGCACAGCCTGTACTGGTAAAAGAGAAGGTGGAAGGAGAAGATCCAGTGAAGGTAATGATATGTAGGGAACCACTGCTTTCTTCAAGCCCTTACTTCTTCAGGATTGCTAATAAGATGAGATAGTGGGTGAATTCCTACTTTCAAAAATAAATCTTTTCAACTCCAGAACAGAAGAATAAGAGATAATTTCCTTACAAGAAATGTCTTAATTCCAGCCTGGCAAAAGCAAACACAATTCCACCGGTTTCAACGGAGTTACAGACAGCCTACTTCACGTACCACAGGGTTTATTGGGCCCTTCTCCCATACTGTAGCACTGCTTTGCCGAGAAATCCTTGCTTTCAAAGTAGTTAACCATGTGTAAACAGCCTGCAACACTGAACTGCAATTAAATAAATCATTAGGAGATGTATATTTTAAAACTCATCTCAGTAGTGGATTTTAACAGCACGTATTGACCTTTTTTTTTCTGTTTGATATCAGGATCTTATGTCAGTAGCACAGACAAGAAACCGAGGATCTGCAGAACAATAGCAACTATTGCACATGTATTTCTCCCTACCACAGTTTCCTACAGGTCATTAAAGTGGAATAATGTATAAGCATAGTGAGAGTTTGGGGAAGAACTTGTTCTTCCCTATAAGCCATCTCAGCACTATGTCAGGTGGGCACGGGCCCTCTTGCTAAAAGCACAGAGAGAGACAGAAGAAAATTGCTTACTGTTTCGAGGCTTCTCCTCATCCATGCCTTCATCTTCATTTTCTGGGTCAATATCTTCTGCTTGAGTTATCCAGTCTAAGTATCCCTTCAAATCTTCCTCTAGTTGTTGTTTTTCCCGTAACTTCTGGAAATCGCCCCGAGCTTTAGCCTTCTCTCTTTCTTTGGAAAACTCCCTAGCAAGAGGGAGGGAGGGACAGGACATGGGCAGAGGGAAGGAAGAGATTGAAAAACAATGAGTTAGATTGATTTCCACTAGAAAGTCTTCACATCCTGTGCAGCACACCCAGCTTTCTCTATTCTTTCAAGACAGACATATGAATGGAGTATCCTTGCTAGATACACACATTTTTACCAATGCTTAGGAAAAGACAAATACCTTTTTTAACCCTTCCACTCTCAACATTCGATTGACATTTCAAATAAAACACGTATGTGACATTTACAATAGCATACACCTTCTAATATTCTTTACCACTTGATATTCTCCAACAGTTATCCATAAATATCTACATGAATAATGTTAATTTAATTCAATGATGAACTGTTTGACAATAATCTGACATCTGGAGAGTGAGATGGTGGCTTTAATTTTTAGACAGGTTTCAATCTGCCTTTAAGTTCATAGGCGTAATCACAACTAAATTGGGCTAACTGGAAGTGTAATTAACAGTACTCACAATTCTGTACACATTTAATTACGGGCAATTTCACCCACGGTACTGGACAATATATTTAAAAACTCAGACCTCAATATTTTCCTGCAGACTTGCAGTATTCAAGGCTGTCATATGACATGAAAGATATTTTTCAAATCTCAAGTTGGGTCGACAGACAAAACTAATAGATTCTGCCAGAAAGTGAACTAGGGTAGACATTTGATAGTTTTATTAAAGACCACTATTGGGAATATAGGCTTAAAACAGAGGGCACAGGAACAAGAATTTTGGGTTGCTTAGTTATGAACCAGGGCACTTGCTTTGCCTTCTTTTTTTGCTATTTCTTCCTCTCTTTCAGAGACATCCCATACCACATTATTTTTTTCTAGAAATGCTGACCTACCTCAATTTAGAGACTCTCCTATGGTTCTGAACCAGGTTTTAACACCTGTATTTTAAAAAGTAAGCTCAATGATTGGGAAAAAGTGCTGGGCCAAGAGTAGTTAAGCATTAAGTCTTAAATCTGCTGAAGCAGATCACTACATAAGGCACACACAGCAGATAACATGGCCCACTGTTTCTAGAAGCGAGAGGTAAAGTCATCTTCTCCAACCCTCTCCCTTGCCAATGACTGTCAGCAATGAGTGGATTTTTAAAAAATCTCCACCTATTATTTGTGTTAGGTTTGGTCCTGCAGAAACAAATAGGAAACCTACCACTGAATTTGGTGGGTTAATATCAGGATTATGAAAATCCTATAAAAAATGTTAAGGAGTGTCATGTGAAGTGTGTCCTCAAGCAACTGAGATGAAGGTGAGTTTCTAACAGTGATGGTGAAGTACAACCCTTCTTTTTGGTCCAAAACCCACCAAAAGATTTCCATTGACTTAACAGGCTTTGGATCTGGTTTTCAATATTACAAGCTGTGCATGAAACCAGCACTGCAGCAGAATGAAAGTAGAATGATGCCTTCATTTCAAGCCAAAGTACGTAACAAAGTATGCCTGTGTCATCTTCACCTCCGTCACATTGCTGAGGGTTCAGCCTGTTCCACAGGACTGTGATGATGAAGGTGGAAATGAGGAAGAGAATCATTGGCTTCTCAGGCCTGACGGTGTATCACAGTCAACCCTGGGACCAACCTTAGTCACAAGGCCATTGCAAGTATGGCGAGAATGAAAAATCAAATTTTCTCATACTGAGAGCAATATTTTGCTATTTAAAATATAAAATAAACATACAAATGCTCAACAATAATAAAAAATGTACAAAGAATTTTAGAAAAATTCCATTAGTAGCAGTTGTATTTTCTGCTTCAATAACATCTTTCCTCCAGGTCTGACATAGTGTCTTATCCAAATTAACTGTTGCAAAAAAAACCCCAAACCAAACCAAAACAACAAAAACCCCACAACACCACTGAATGAAACTAGGTATTATTAAGCCTGTTTGATAAATCAAATCCCAATATTTCAACTGTTGGCTCCTAAACTGGTGGTTTAGGATCTAGAACAAAAGGGTCCAATTTTGAAAGGGAGTGAGCCCTCAACTTTAAGTGAGAACTATTTACATTTGCATGGATAAAACTTGCAAGGGGCTGTTGTAGAAACCAAAGTGGAAAACATCAGGAAAGAGCCCAGCTTACAGAAAGTGAAATTCCTACTGTGTGTTGAAGTGGATCATTTACGTTAGACGTATCTAAGCTGCACACCTACTTGGGTCTTTTCAGTCCCCACTTACTGTCTCTCTCAAACAGGACTCCAGCTGCGGGAAGAGCTGACTAAATCAATGTGAGATTTCAGAATGATGTCTGCACGCTGACCGTCTGCATAGGAGTGAATTTGTTACCTAGCATTTTAATGGCACGACTGAAAATACCGTGATTACCCAGTCTAAACAATCTGCAATTCCATGTCTCTTTCCTTTGTACAGTGTATGATACTCCACATCCCAGACGACTCTCCAAAGTAGACAACTTATTTCAATTATCTGAATTTCTATGCTCTACTAACATTAAACCATTGAGAACAGGTGGGGCAGGAAATTGCTAATGCAATTTAAACCACCTCCCATGTGGAATGCCAGCCTGTACTCAGCCAAACGTAGTTCAAGATCAAGAATTACTATCAATGGTCATTTACCATCCCATGTGAAATGAGCTGGTGACCTCAGTTCAGTTCCTACTGCAGGTGGGTGTGCACATTACCTCAGCCACCATCGCAGCTGGCAATAAACGGTCATTGTTTGCAGATTCAGCAGGGAGGCCAAGGATCAAATAAGCTTTCTGAGGGAAGTGCCATCTTGAGTCTGGAGGTGGCCTTCTCCAAAAAGATTGCACTGTCATGTCCGGATAAGGTTGATAAAGGCTTGCAGAACTACTAAACAATCTGCCTCTTTTCAGTGAGCAAGAAAACATCAGTTTAAGAGTCAATGAATCTGGTTGTTTTTACCAGAATTCAGTTTTTTTCACTTCACTTCTCGCAGAAAATTATAGCAATGGGAATACCAAAAAGCAAAGTATTCTGGAGAGATGTTTTCTCTGCGTGAGGTTAGAGTGGGTCAAGATCATAAGTACAAATGCCCAGCTCTGTACCCTGTGCTGTTCCAGAAGAAAATTTCTCTTGCCCATCCTGATGATGAAATAAAGATAATTCTTGTCTATATCTGATCTCAATATGATTTCTCACATTTAGGGAAGTGATGGAAAGTGAGCAAAACAGCAGAATTATAACAGTTAAAAACCCTTGCTTACTACTAAAAGTGCAGCACAAGGCTTCAAATCTCATCCATCCTGAGAAGTACACCAAGGAATGGGAAGGGTTGGAAGAGGGGACAGAAGACTAGGGAAAAAGTCCTGAAAGGTCACAAAAACTGCTCCAGGAGGAGCTACAACTGTAGCCTGCCTCCCATGCACTCTGACCTCTTCCTTGGCAGTAAGAACATCCACAGAAGCCAGCTGGGTTTTCCAGGATCCTCTCAAATCAGAAGAAAGCCTGTTCTCCTGCCCTCTGTTTGCCTAGACAACTGCTTGTTTGCCTCTGTCCCAGGATTTGGATCACTGCTAGGCAAAACATATAAAAAAAGTGAATCCATACACTTAGGCATGCAGGTCTGAAAGTTGAACCCATGCTGATATTTTTTTTTCCTTTCTAGTTGATTGAAACAGATAACACAGATGTGAACATCTCTGATCTCAAGAGACCTCTAAGAGGGGCTTCACTGTTTACAGCAATCATGTGGAATCCTTTTGCCTGGGCTTGAGGAGGTCTACTGTGTGATCTGCTGACTGGATATTTCCTTTGGAATACATGAATTTTATATTGTGTTCAGTCAAGACAGGAAAAGGATTATAGCTCTACACATGAATACTTTGTCATGTTTTTTAGCTTAGCACTTGACTAGTAAATTCAACCAGAAGGACCATGAAGGGATGACATACCTGAGAAAAAACAAATTACAAATGAGCCCTTTAGGCAGAACAGAACTCAGCATTTGATCTTGCAGGTGCAATCAAGGTGTCTTTGTGAGTACAATTAATTACACTTACGTATTCAGAAGTGATTAAAAAAACCTAAGCTAATCTGCCAGTGATGAAGTCTACCTACACGATATGCTCAGTGAAGTTCCTGAAATAGATTAATGGGAAGAAATCAGAGATGTCCAGAATGGATATACAAAGATGCCCAGGGATGCTACTTTGGATCTACGTAGATCAGACAGGTGGATCATCTTCATAGATGAGACTAATAGCAATAGCAAGTCTCAAAAAGAAAAGCTGAATCTGCAAAGTGAAGACACTTTGCAACTCAGCAGAATTTAGAACTGCTTTAGAAAGTTAATTGTTTAAGAACTGCTTATTAAGCTCAAAGAAAATTTGGAACATTTCTCCCATAATTTCTGTGTTTTTTCAAGGATGCAAATTCTTAAGTTTCTTTTTACTTTTCTCCAGTTGGGAAAAAATTTTGCAGAAACAGTGCAGCTGTCATAACACTGTGAACTCAGCCAGAAAGAGTGACTCACAGCTCAAACAAGGTGAACTTCATCTTTGATTTCAGTTCTCTCTACAGACTGTTTCCATCTCTTACCATTACCTGTGGTAGTCTAGATGCAGTATTTCAGGAGATGGAAGATCTAGGCCCCAAAACACACTCTTGAGTTGAAAAATGAGAGAGAGAGAAAGGAAACTCAATTTTTAATTATGCACAGACACAAATCCAAGCATAGGTAACCTGAATCAGCAGTGCTTCAACCGTATGCACTCCTCAGGGCTGGGCTCACAGGCACTGTTTATCCAATCAGACACTATATAATCTTTAACCACTGTCCTATATGGTCCTTGAGTGCACCTCTGATACAACAGATCATTTTCTCTCTATCAGCTGGTCATTGTCCTCCACTACTGCTGACATCCTTACCTGCTGATCAGAGTATCCACCTGAAGAAATGAGGAGCTTATGTTTTAAAATTGTACCCAGACTATCACTCTCCAGATATCCAAACATAGACTATTGCCTGACACTTCATTACTGAGGATTTTTTCTCACTCCCATTACTGCTTGGAAACCCTTCTCTTTGCAGCAGCTGTCTTAGCAGCATGTCTCCTTCAGTGGAGTAATGAAGATAGCAGTAACGGATACCTCCTGTAGATCTGCTATTACCTGTGTCTTTGCAGGATGGCCAATGGTGGATCTTGTTCTCTGGTCATACTACTGCCCTTCCTATGTTGTTGGACCCAGTACTGAGGACAAAATTTCTGTAAGGCATCAAGTCCTCTCTCCTGCTCAGAGATTATTTTCCCTCCCTTATGATCAAAAGACAAGGGACTTCAGGGCTGCTCGCTCAAACAACAGGTACAGGCTCTGAACAAATTCACTTAGAGCTCATTAAAGGAGGCAGGTTGTTAGAAACAAAGAAAAAGAGGATGCATAAAAGTCCTCATGCCATATTTATCCATGTACATAGAATGGCTGTAGGCACCCAGTCATGCCCAAATATGGAATTAGAAGCCTAATTCTAGGAGATCTTTTTTTCAAAAATCTTGCAAGGAATGTTTGCTGGCTTGATTCCTCTAATTATATGGCTCCCCAGGGGCAGGAAAGTTTTTAACTACTGGGGACAATATCAATTGTTTTTAATTAAAGCTCCTAAAATGATACTTTGCAGTGAGGGTTGTACTGTAGAACTGAAATACAGCTAAATGTCTAGATGTCTTAGGAATGCTTCAACACTAGAAGGAATTCCCCTGCTTCTCTGTTCATCCTTTGGAAAGGTCAGAGGGAAATGATCTTTTCTCCCTGCATCATGCTAGGCTTGTAATCCACACAATAGAGATGTGCTTATTGAAGAAGAAACGTGCCCAAGACATTCTCCAGGGAAAACAGTCTCCCATTAGGCCGTGCTTTACAGATACTAAGCAATGTAAAAATTTCTCATGTGAGAAGACATAATTTGGCAGGAATCTCATCCCGCAAATGTGAATGATTTGGCTCATGCTTTCCTTCCTTCTTCAGCCCCACTGACTCTTCCAGAAATTTTATAGGGATCATATTGCCATCTTCTATGGTGAATGGTATGCTTCCCTCACAGGGGAGCACAGTGTTGTCCTCTTCCCACAGAGTACAGGTAGAGGTTTTAGATAGAGGAGCACATTACAGGCAAAGAGTGGTCTTGTATTCCTTTGATTTAGTCAAAAGAATCCTTTCATGGCCATTGGGAATGCCATATTTTGCTATCGGCACAGCAATAGTCTAGACCTTCTAATAAGGTTCCTGAGATCAACCCACCACTGCCGTCGTTTTGGTAACAAGAAAGTAGGAATAGAAATACAAATTTTCAAAAATAAACAATAATAAAACATTTTCCTGGTACTGCTTACCCGCTAAGTACACCGAGAACCAAGTTAAGTACAAAAAATGACCCTATGATGATTAGTGTAACAAAATAGATCCAGGGCCAGTCCCTTCCTATGGCATCATTGACCTGGAAGAGTGGAATGATAATTAGTGAGACAAGCTCAGATTCTGAGCACTGCAAGGCTCCAGCCAAAGAGATCCCAAGTCACCAGCAGTAAGATTTTCAATAGCCAGTTCTCTAGAAATTTGTGACAGGTTGACATTAGCAAGTTTGAATGCCCTGAGGCTGAATTTCTTTGTCAGAGAATAACGCCTCTTTTGTTACCTGTATTGTTATTCACAACGTTTGAATATTTTGTCAAAATATTTGAGAGCTGATGTGAAGCTTCCTTGGGTTCAGATTTTTAATGTCTCTCAAAGAATCCTGGTGACAGGGAAGAACCCTTATTATGGAGTCTTGCCCTGTAGCATTGGAAAAAGGACACCAAAACTGTCAGCTTACCCGCTCAACACACCAAGAACCAGATTTAGAACGAAAAAGGATCCAAAGATGACCAGACTGACAAAATACACCCATGGTAACTCATAGCCCATAGCGTCCTGCATCTGGAAAGATGAAGGAAAGTTAGAAGACAGAGGGAAAGCAGAAATGATTAGGCAAAGGAACAGGTGGAAAGGTTTGTAAACAGAGCCTGTGGTTGGCTTACACATCATCATAGCAAGTGTGTCTGTATGTTCTTTCTGATGTGACCGCTCCTTTGATTGCTTTTTTCCTCTACCAGTTTCCTTACAGGCAGTGATTTAATACAGGTTGAGATAACCATGTGTTGTACTGACACTTCTTTGGATGCTCAAAGTTGTGGACTGTCACTTTCTGGAGTTTACTTACAGCACCTCAAGGGTCCATCAGATGATTTCTAACCTTCTAACCACTGCACATCCATATGACTCTTTAATGCCAGTGAAAATATTGCTAGTTTTTGCTAAGCATTGCCAGACTGTGTTGTCAGATCACGTTTACTTCTCACGTGTAGCACAGGTACACGTACCTCAGAGAGAAGCACGTGGTAACTGTGGGCAAATGCTGATCTTTCCCTGGCAATGCTCTGGTAATCTGCACAGTTTACCACAGCAAGGGTGGTAGCTGTCTGGTTTTGAGGAAGGTCCTCTCAAGGCCCACCATATTCTGACCTCATCAAGTGTTTTCTAAAGCTGACAAACTTCCTTTCTCTCCTTGAAGGACGAGTTTCTCCTTCAAAATGTGATTCCTACACAACTAAATAGTCAAAGACTTTGGGACTGTAAACTGAATGACATGAGCACAGGTCTTGCTATCACACCACTACAAGCATCTGTAATTGAAGGAGGTAGACTATCGTTTTAGCACCAGAACCTGTGTTATGTGTAGAACAACTCTAGCACATCATAAGATATTGTATATATACTAAAAGCATCTAGTACATAAGCACTATTTTATCTTGAAGTCTCCTTCAAAGTTCAAAATTTTGGAAAGTTGCTGGATACCTTAACAGAATCTCACTTTCATGATGGTATCAAAAATATCAGAGTCCCTTCTTCTTTACTTTTCATAAATACTTATCTCCTGAGCCAGACATAGCATCATTAAAGAAACAGATGGTGGCTAACAGTTTGAGGAACACTAAAATGATTTATGAATGTAAACTGCAGACTTGAAAGTATCTAAAGGCATAAAGCACTAAGTTCCTTTATTTTCAATGCTTTCGAAAATTTTATCGTACGTTGTCCTCTCCTTCCAGGAAAATGCTCTCTCCTTTCCAACCTAAGCATTTGCTGTGATCACAGAAGAAATATTCTTCCATACATGGGCACTGAGACACACTTCAGGGGAGGCAATCTGACTCAAGATTCATAACAACTTGGGAAAGGAATTTCAGACCTTCAGTAAGACAAGGCAGGAGAGTAGCACTAATATAATCAGTTCTTTGTGGATGGAAGTCCATTATCCATTTTCCTTTCGAAGTACAGTCACTAAAGTCCTTGTCTGGCAATAGTCCACAGTCAAAGGGCCTATCCAGAACTCTATCTTGGGACTCCTTCGGCTGTGACTGAAGTAGACTCATTAAAAAATAAAATCTGCCTCTGTGGTAACAGTTCATCAGCTCCCTCCTCACAGGACCAATACAATTTGTGCTCAGAAGAGAGTACCCGAACATCTAACATCCCCTAAGCCTATTAACCAGCTTCTCTTTTAATATTTTTGTACAACTGTTCAGTTAGTTTATAAATAACACTAATTACTCTTTAGGTTTGCAAGCCACATTTCATCCCACATGACCAAAAAGTGGACATCTCTGGTATGAAACACATCAGTGCTTTAAAAACAACAAAACATCATGGTATATAAAGATGGAAGCAAATATTCACCTGAAATCACAATGGAGAAATCAGGCAGGCAAAATGTAACTGCCCAAGCTGGAATTAAGTAAAGAAATGAGATTTAACATCCTCTCCATCCTACAAAGAATGCCACTATCTACATATAGCAAACCACACAAACAGTGAGTATGGCTGACTTTGAAAATCTGCCATAAGAATCTACCAGCGCAGGCACAATGACGACTTGAGTTCCCTCTAATTGTGATAGATGGTGATAAAAAAGCCTCAGTATTTATATGGTATATTTATATGGTATATAATATATGGTATTTATCTGTTGGCAGGTTGGTTGTTGGGTTTTTTTGTCAGCTGAAAAGGTCAGCTGGAAAAGTAGAGAGAGCTTCTCAAAGCTGTGGTACAAAGTGAGTCCTAAATAGCAAACGCCACGGTGCTGGGTACAGAATCCAGGTGCATGTCAAGGTGCCTTTTGTACAACTGTGGCACAAAGAAATTTCCAGATGGTAAGAAGCTTCCATTGTGGCCTGGTAAAGTATAGAACTAGAGTGTACTCTGGCTGTTCACAATGCCTGCACAATTGCATAACGATTGTACCAGCTAGCATCAGCACAAATTAGTCCTGAAAAATAGACCTGCATTCTGGTACAGTAGGGCATTTGGGACTTCTCAGACTGAACATTTTGGAGATCAGCTTTTTAACTCCTTTTTTGTTGCTCAGTCATATAAGTAACGGCAAAGCTGAGAGGCAGAGACTGCAGTTGACAGCTTCTCAAGTGTAGAGAAACCATCAGAATTTGGCAGACAGCTGAGTCTGTCTCTCTGCTGCTGGACTCCCTGTGTTTGGTGACCTCACATCTCATTTTCTTTAGTAGAATCACAGAATTGTAGGGATTAGAAGGGACCTCTGGAGATCATCCAGTCCAACCCCCCTGCCAAAGCAGTGTCACTTAGAGCAGGTTACACAGGACTGCACATCCAGGAAGGTTTGGAACATCTCCAGAGAAGGAGACTCCACACCCTCTCTGGGCAGCCTGTCCCAGGGCTCTGGCACCCTCCACGTACATTTGTTCTTCCTCATCCTCAGATGGACCATCCTGTGTTCCAGCTTGTGCCCGTTGCCCCTTGTCCTGTCACTGGCCACCACTGAAAAGAGTCTGTCCCCATCCTCTTGACACCTGCCCTTTAGATATTTATAAACATTGATAAGGTCCCCTCTCAGTCTTCTCTTCTCCAGACTAAACAGACCCAGCTCTCTCAGTCTTTCCTCGTAAGAAAGATGCTCCAGCCCCTTCATCATATTATACCATATACTATGGGACTGTGTCACAGGTGACAGGAATGTATGTTGATATAACATCAGGTATTTGGTAAATTATGTTAAAAAACCCCTTTGATAAGTAAAGTGTGAGTTTACTATTTGCTCTTGAAAACATCTGCAGGAGAAATGCAGATACAGGCTGCTTGGCAGAAGTTGGTGGGGGGGGGGGAAGAAATAGACTTACTCAAAATAGTAACAGCAACATATCAACATTTAAGAAACATTAAATTCTGAAATATCTGAATATGCTTCCTCCAAAATGGAAGTATCCAGGAAGTCCAGGATGGACTTTCATCAACTGAACAACACTCCCATACAGTTACTTTTAAAAACCTTGCACCTGTGTTTGAGTGAAACTGCTTCCTGGAAACTTGGAATCATAGAATCATAGAATGGCCTGGGTTGGAAGGGACCTTAAAGACCATCCAGTTCCAATCCCCCTGCCAGCAGCAGGGACACCTTCCACTAGACCAGGTTGCTCAAAGCCTCATCCAACCTGGCCTTCAACACTTCCAGGGAAGGGGCATCTACAACTTCCTTGGGCAACCTGTTCCAGTGTCTGAGCACCCTCACAGTGAAGAACTTCTTCCTAATATCTAATCTAAACCTCCCCTCTTTCAGCTTCTCTGGGCAACCTGGGCCAGTGTCTCACCACCCTCACAGCAGGGTGGTCATTCTGCAAATACATAGCCATTAATCACACGTGTGTGCATACCCATGTCCTGTTAACTACAGCTGGAGGCTGTCGCTGCAAGCATTAACTTAGGTGGTAGAGTTGATCTTTCCTAATGGTGTTGTTGAAGTGGAGAAGCTGCAGAAGGTCATGACAAGATCAAAAGGACTGTCACCAGTTGCACACTACTGAGTGCAGCAAATGAGGTCTACAAAATATAATTTGTATTGTCTACAGCAAACAGAAACTGCTTCAATTAGAGGTTACCTCTCCAGGACGGACAGTACAACTCCCAACATGCAGTTCAGCTCTCTGGTCGCTGATTGCACTTCTCCTGGAGTGTTTACTATGAACCATATGAATCTCAACAGAAAAGGCGGATCATCTTCTAAATTTACAGTTCTGAACCAAGACTATCAGCCAGTGTAGGTCTGAATTATAATATCCCAGCTACAGTAGTCAAGGTGATAACAACCTGATGTCAATTTAAGCATGTATGGGACAACTGTCTGAAATCTGAATTTGCAGATAGAAATTTTTAGAGAAATAATTGTGCTTTCTGAATCAAATTGCCTGACCTTTCATAGCTCATGTCTCAACACTCGCATCTCATCACTCTCAACAGTGGGAAAGTTGGTACATTTCTGAACATTAAAGCATCATCTCTCAGAGACCTCAGAGATTAGGATCTTAGATTCCTTCTCATGATTTGCTACATACCTCCTTCTGGCACCGTGTGGCCATCATTTTGACTCACTGTGCTTCAGCTTTCCAACCTACAAAGTGGGATACTACCTTGCCTCACTGGGTCCTGTCGAAGAAACCACTCAGCATCATGACAAAAAGAGGACATTTCAGCATATTTGGTGTCTGATGGACCTTCTGTACTGGGGAAGAGCTCTTCCTTTGCCAGGCATCCTTAATTGCTATCATGACTACAGCATTTTAACATCCAGTTGAAGGCTTTTCTCTCAGTGATACAGATAATATCCTAAAAATAACACCAGGATTTTTAATTCTGTACTTTGCTGACCACAGTTACAACTAGCAGTTTCAGTAGGGGCTAAGAAATAAAAGTCTATTTATCTCTATAAATAGACCTTTGTACCTGTCTGCCAATTTTTCAGAAGACTTAGGTGAAGACATACTGGTAAAGCCCCAGGAGATACGCACGCTTGACTTGTTTAGAGATTGTTTTTTTTTTTCTTTTCCCAGGGATAATAGTCTAGCAGATTTTTT